CGATGGACACGGTGCCGAAGTGGTTATTGCACTGTTGCTGTGAACTTGTCGGCGCGTTGACAGTCGATGGCATCTCGCTTGTGGTATTGCAGTCGCCTCTGCCGTGTTTTGACTGGACGAGTGGCTGTAGCGACTAACGTCGTCACGCTCGAGTAAGAGGTCGTGACTGGCAGTGGACACTTTCGTGCGAGCCGTATTGTCACCCTCGTCTTTTCTGTTCATCCGACTCCTCCGAGTTACGGGCGCTACCACAGCAGAATAGGTCGAAAACGATGCGTTCAAGAGCGGATTCTCTTGCTGGAACACACTCGCATCCACGTTGGCTGCACACGGGTAGCAAATGCGAGTCCGACGCACTCGTCGTGCGATCGGTTCGACGTCAAACTTGTGCGAGCACTCCCGGCAGACACACTGGGCACAGAGCTGGCAGAAACGTTGAGGACGTAGCAGTCCGAAGGTTTTCCGACACACCTTGCAAACGTCGTCCCTGGCTGCAGCATAATTGGGCGGTACGTGCAAGAATGACTGGTTCCCGAACCGCCGGCGTCGCACGAGCTGTTCAAACGACGTTGTCGCATTTGCCAGCAGCTTGACCACGTACTTTGCTTCAGCATTGGCTGTCGGGGGCAAGTCCTGTCGATGACTCGAGCCGGAGCTTCGAGCTTGGTGACTTCGTGGCCAGAGCTTCGAGCGTGATCGAAGCACGTCGGTCGTCACCGGTCCCTCTATGATATTGCAGACGTACGCCGTCATGACGATTCGCGTCTGGTGGCCACTGAGATCACTGTACAAGCTCGTGAGATGGTACCCAGCAGCAATATGATCAGTAGTGCCTCGAAGCGCCTGTTCTGCAGCTCCTTGATCTCGACTGCAGCGAGCAAAGTGGTCCTGTGTTGACTTGGGCAAGGTCTTCATGGTATAAAAAGCTTCGTTCGTGTCCGGACAGTGCTGCGAGTACACTGCAAAGCAAAGGCGTTGGCGACGACTCGTCCGTTTCGCGGCAGTCACGGGGTTGAGGGACCGACGGGGTCGTAGCACTACGGATTGCATCGCTACCCACCCTGGCTGCCCGCGGTCGTCACCGTCATCATCTTCCCAGTAAGAGGATCCATGGTCATGGAACTCGCGTGCCAATGCTCGGTCCCCGCTTCGGTACTTCCTCGCTCCAAAGAGCGCAGCCATACTGGCATCAAACTGATGGGCTTCCCGGCCAAACAGCATGTCATTGGCTTCTTCCAAGCGGCAATTGAGCGTGACTTGAGCCGACGCGGCGTACGTGACACTGGGGTCGTCTCGTGGCCAGCGGAAGGTGGAGGATGTCGGTTCGTCGACAAAGGCGTTGCGAGTGTGGAGCGACCCTCGGGTCTCGACCATTGAATGGCGTGTCGTGTCAACAGCTGAAGCTCGCGCTGTTGCAGTGCGGGTGTCGCCTCGCTGCTGCATGGACGGGAGTCTGGCTCGGTCGAACTCGGTGATCTCGCCGCTGTAGTACTGTTGCTGCTGCTTGTTTTTCTGCTTGCGGACGATCCAGCACGGTGGTGGCTGCTGTCGATCGAGCAACGGCCTTTGCCACATGCTGCTGCTGCGGCGGCCGCCGTCGTTGCGGTGCTTTAAGACTGCGCGGAGATTCGGAACGACACTCGTCGCAGTTGCAAACAACTCGTGGTCGGTTATGTGGGCGCTGATGAAGGATCGAGACAGGAGCGCGCTGCGTGCAGACGCGGGGGAAGCGACGCTGCTCTGGAAGTCGCTGCTGCTGCGGACGCTGCCGTGGCAACTGCTGCCTACGTAGCTGTCGGTCATTGCGAACCGGCGAGGAGGGACGAAGCCGGAAGGGATCGTGCAGGTGGCGAGCAGGTGGGACGGCAATGGAATGGAAAAGCAAAAGTGAGGACAACGACCAGGAGGAGTGCGGGATGTCGCGTGAATTGGGTCGAAAACGCACCCAAGAAAGCGCTCGGTCAACTCGGGCGATGGTATCCATTAAACCTTTGAGATTGGCTCGGTCGAGTGATTGGGGATCCGAATGCCTGGTGCTTCAGCTGGCTCGACAAATTGGCCTGATCGGTGTCGTGACTGTCTGACGGACTGACTAACTGACTGACTGACTGACTGACTGACTGACTGACTAGTACTACCTGCCAAGAGTGGCAAGTCGCCACTATTCGAGCGACTTACGCACCATGTTGATGGCGCTGCTTGAATTTGCCTTGATCATCAACCGCTGCCTTCATGTTGAGCGATACAACGTGTGCAGTAGGAGAATGATGGAATCGATAGACCTGCAGGCTTCTTAGAACTAGGAGCTCTGGCTCCCCGTAAACAGCCAGATCGGTGCCCCATGTGCGTCATTTGGAGTGATCCAGCCAACATCAGGAGTCTTGAACCTACCGCCTCCTAGTGTCTGACGATGTTCCTTGCCTTTCAACTCGCACGCATGCCCCGGATCTCGTGTTCCACACCTCGGGGCTTGAGTCCATCGTGTGGTCGTTTCTGTCCGCGCGTCCACCCATGCAACTGCATTGGAAATGTCGAACCTCATGAGGCCAGTCAATGTGCTCGTGTTGCCTGCCGATGGTGAACCGGCTAGGCGACTGACCCGTTTCCTGACAGCTCGTTCGTCTTCGTCGCTCTCTCTTTGCACTCACACGCTACACTAGGGGCATTTGAGATTTGGGTGATACTCTAGGTGCGTTTGAGATAAGGGTGAGCTCGATTCACCTACAACGGGCCATTGAAACCCACACCATCGGACACAGCACGTCAAAAAAGCACCTCGTATTAAGAAATTACGTAGACAACAGACTCTCTCAAAGCACGTGGTTCGCGACTTGCGCGCCCTCGTCTACAGCTCGTCGTGCTCATCATCCTCGTCGTCCTCGCCAGTCTCGTACGTGTCCTCCTGGGCGGCACCGCTCTCGTACACCTTGGACATGATCGGGTTCACAACCTTCTCCACCTCCTTCTGCTTGGCCTCATAGTCCTCCTTGTCCGCCTCCTGGTTGTCCTCCAACCAGTCCATCGCATCTTGTACAGCAGTCAAGACCGTGTCCTTGTCGTCCTCCTCGAGCTTGTCGTCGAGCTTGCCCTCCACGTTGTTCTTCAGGTTGTACAAGTAGCCCTCCAGCGAGTTGCGGCCATCGATACGGTCCTTCACACGCTTGTCCTCGTCGGCAAACTCCGATGCCTCCTGGACCATGCGGTCAATCTCTTCCTGCGACAGACGGCCTTTCTCGGCAGTGATCGTGATTGTCTCGGCCTTGCCGGTACCCTTGTCCTCCGCAGACACTTGCAAGATACCATTGGCATCAATCTCGAACGTCACCTCAATCTGAGGCACACCACGAGGAGCAGGCGGCAAACCAGTCAGCTCGAACTTGCCAAGCAGACGGTTGTCCTTTGTCATCGCGCGTTCGCCCTCGAACACCTGGATAAGCACGGCCGGCTGGTTGTCCTGGTACGTCGAGAAGGTCTGCGACTTCTTCGTCGGGATCACCGTGTTGCGGTTAATCAGCTTCGTCATGACGCCACCCACCGTCTCAATACCCTGAGACAGCGGCACGACATCAATCAGCAGCACATCCTTGGTCAAATCATCCTGCTCGCCACCCAGGATACCACCCTGCACAGCGGCGCCATATGCCACAGCCTCGTCCGGGTTCACTCCACGCGAAGGTTCCTTGCCGTTAAAGTAGTCCTTGATCAGCTGCTGCACCTTGGGGATACGAGTGGACCCACCCACGAGCACAATCTCATCCACCTCCGACTTCTTCAATCCAGCATCTTTCATCACCTTCTCCACCGGCCCCAGCGTCTTCTTGAACAAATCGTCATTCAGCTTCTCAAAGCGCGCACGACTCAACGACTCGGTAAAGTCCTCGCCATCCAGCAACGATTCAATCTCCAGTCTTGCTTGCGCTTGCGCCGACAGCGCGCGTTTCACACGCTCGGCTTCGCGTCGCAGCTTCTGCAACGCGCGCTTGTCCGACGCCACGTCAATGTTCTTGTCCTTCTTCCACTTCTTGATAAAGTACTGCATAATGCGCTGGTCAAAGTCCTCGCCGCCCAAGTGCGTGTCGCCATTGGTCGCCAGCACTTCAAACACGCCGCCGTCAATGGCCAGCAGCGTCACGTCAAAGGTCCCGCCACCCAAGTCAAACACCAGCACGTTCTTCTCGCCCTGCGCCTTCTTGTCAATGCCATAAGCAATTGCCGCCGCCGTTGGCTCATTAATGATGCGCTGGACTGTCAAGCCAGCAATGGTACCGGCGTCCTTAGTGGCTTGACGCTGGGCGTCGTTGAAGTAGGCAGGGACCGTCACGACAGCGTCAAAGACCTCGCGGCCAATGTACCCCTCCGCAATGTGCTTCATCTTGGTCAAGACCATCGCCGACACTTCTTCCGGGGCAAATTGGCGCGTCTCGCCCTTGACTTGGACTTGGATGAAGGGCTTCCCGTCCTTGTTCACGAGCTCATAGGGCAGCAGCTTCTTGTCCGATTGGACCGACTTGTCCGTGTACTTGCGACCAATGAGACGCTTGACGTCGAACAGCGTCTTCTCCGGGTTGATCGTCGCTTGGTTCTTGGCGCCGTCGCCAATCAGACGCTCGTCGTTCGAGTCCCACGCCACGTACGACGGCGTGATGCGGTTGCCCTGGTCGTTGGCAATGATCTCCACCTTCTGGTCCTTGTAAATGCCCACGCACGAGTACGTCGTGCCCAGGTCAATGCCGATCACGGGCCCGCGCGGCCCCTTCGTGTCTTCCCCAGACACCGCCGCGTTCGCGAGCGCCGCGGCGGCGAGGAGACAGATCTTGGCGAGATTCATCCGAAAAGGTTTTATCCAATCGGGGTTCGAGGTTTCGTTTCGAGGTGCCTGCGTCCCTTCTCTCTGTGGTGGCAAAAACGATAATGAGAGGCACGGGTGGGAGCCATGGGGGAGACGAAAGCGAGCCGGCATACAAAGTGCAAGTCAATAGCGTTGCTGACGTGGCGCCGACATGACCGGGTCGTTTCGAGAAGCGACGTGGCTTCTAGAAAGTGGGCGATCCATTGGTGCTAGTGTTTGTATGGAGCATACGAATGGCAAGATCAAGTGTGCCACGCGGCCGCACGGTCCGACTAAGTGCGAAGATTTACGGCCAGGTGGTAAAAAGAGGAGAGAGAAAATGGACAGGGTTTGAAAACGTGCTCGTAGTTAGGACACGATGAGCGCTTGTCATGTACTTATTGTACTTACATTAGCTCTATGTATTTGTAAAAGAGATAACGAGATTGGGAAACGCGTGCTGTCTCCATGAAGATCGATGTAGGTGGTAGGAGTGAGTGAGACTGGTTTTAGTTGGAAGTTGTGGATCATTCTACGTGGCAACTGTTCGACGTGTACGCCGATGATTTGCAATGTCGGCGAGCCAAAAAAACGCTCGAGCGACTTGGTGCAAGTACAAACTGATCGGTACAACGCGTGATGAAAGAACAGTGACGGCCGTGGTGCATTATTGAGGAAGAGTCTTGTAGAAGCAGCAACAAGCTCGTCTTTTTGAAGTGCAAAGTCAGCGATCAATTTGCCAGATCACAGCTGCAGTAAACGAGAATGTCAATTCATGAGCTGCCTTGCAGTGCACACACACATCAGTAGCCAACAACCTATCGACAAGAACTGCTGCTCAATGCGTGAAAGCCATTCCAACACATGCATCAAATGACAGACTTCCTTGGTGACATCTCAAAATCCGTCGTCAGTCAGGCACTCCTCGTCTTGTCCAGCGTTGCACGCAGTAAAACTACAAACAGCTTACCACGACTTCCACGCCCACCCACCCACCATTCGATCCGAATCTCGCAATTCTTGGCCAGCTGCCTAGTGCACTAGAGTCCACCCGATTGATACGAATGTTCGTGGTTGGGCGCCGCACGAGACCCTTCAGACCGACTGGTTTTATGCACCATTCATCATTTGGTCGCCGCTGCTACGTCAGTCTCAAGTCTCTGCTATCAACCTCACTTTTGCCAGCATGGAAGTGATTGTACTCGGGTGCGGACCATCCTCATCAGTGCCGTCCATGCGTTGCGTCCTCCGTCAGGATTGTGCCGTTTGTCTCGAAGCACACGCGAATCCGGACTCGAAGAACCGTCGACTGAACCCGAGTCTGCTCGTTCGCAACCTGACAACCCACACGAACGTCCTCATTGACTGTGGCAAGACCTTTCGGGAGGCTGCACTCAGGTTCTTCCCGAGCCTTGGTGTCTCGGCTGTTCACTCGCTAGTGCTCACGCACGACCACGCTGATGCCTTACTCGGCATGGACGACCTCCGGGAAGTCCAAGCCCATGACGAGACGGTCGATCCAGTGACCAAGGAACTGTACAAGATCTCGCCAGAGGCTATGAAGGTGCACTGCAGTGAGCTTACGAGCCACGATGTGATTGCAAAGTTCCCATACCTGATCGACAAGGAGCCTGGATCTCCACATCTGCTGGTTGAGGACGGCGTGTTGAAGAAACCCTTTCGATGGACTGCAAAGCTCGAGGTTGACATCTTTCAACCATGGACACCGTTCGAGGCAAGTGGGCTGCAGTTCCTGCCTTTTCCGGTGATTCATGGAGCTGGCTACACATCGTTCGGGTTCGAGTTCGGATCGGAGGTTGGCGCTCGGTTCGTCTACATTTCAGACGTGAGCGAGATACCGGAGGAGACGAAAGCGTTTCTGGATGATGCAACGAAGCCTCAAATCGACGTGTTGCTGATTGACGCACTCCACTTGGAGGACAAGTACCACAGCACTCATATGAACTTGCAAAAGGTGATGGAGGAAATCGCAACGTTTAAACCCAAGCGTACGTTGCTTACAGGCATGAGCCACGACTTTGACTACCCGAAGCATAGTGTTGAGCTGCGAGAAATGGGTGAGGAGAAAGGGGTGGCAATCGAAATGACTTACGACGGATTGCGTGTCACCCTTCCTTGATCAAGCTGCATTGTCAAGAACCAGTAAGTAAAGCTGACCACGACGGTTCGTAGCATTCAATTCTACTGATAGGACGCTCGACTTCGCATCCTTTCTACTCGTACCCTCCAAGCTGACATCAGTTCATGCGTCGAAAGCTAGATTGCATGTGATCTGTCAGATAGCTTTCTGGTCGTTTGTGCAGGAGGGATATGTGACCGTGACCGCGTGGAACCTCTTCGGGTGCGGACACTCACAAAGGCATGCAGTCGTCTTGCATGGGGCCGTGGATTCGACTCCGAATGATACAAATTTACAAGTGACAACATTGCTGTGAAGATGCACATCATGATATCCAAGCCATGTTTCCACATCGCATTGACAATGAATATGGGATTCCAGGAATTCAGCAAAACCAGCAGGAGCCGCTGCAAAAGTCTCAGATGCATGAGTGCAGTACACGCAACAACTAGAAGCAGTGTTTTAGCATCAGCGTGGAACCCTTCATCGGGTCGACTTGTGCGGCAGCTAGACTGGCCACATCACTGCCAAGCGCGTCAGCCCTCTGACTTGAGGATTCCAATTATGTTAGCGCTTTGATCCACTGCAGTCCCTGTTGCGCGCTCGTCATCCAAGGAAGTAACCAGCAAACCAGCCTCGCGCATGATCACATCGATCTCATCAATCTCCTTGCTCAGGATCCGAGCAGGACTGAGTGCGGCTATTGATGGCACAGGGAACAGACGATGAAAGCACTTGATCAGGTATGGCACGAGCTCTGAACGAACAACCTACGTGGTGCATACTACGTGTCAACAACTTTCCTCCATCATATCCACGACATTCATCCGGTATTTCTAGCATGACGTACCTCGGTCATCGCGCGGACAGATTCAGTAAGTGCTGCTTTTCGTGCATTGTTTGATGTCGTATCATTTCCACCTTCGTAGCTTGCTTCACTTGAAGCGTGTAGATCAAGCTCGTTCTCCTTCACAAACTCAGCGATAATAACCAACATCGTGCTGATCACACTCTGGTACTTTCTGCCCAAACGATTCTGTAGCGACAGAATCGTGCACAGCCTCAGTTCATTCAGCGAAGATAGCAGCGCGTTGGTAAATTCAGCCAGCACGGGAAAAGACATGAGGCACCGTGGAGGTGAATAGCCGTCACCATCGGAAGATGCCGGTGCTAGACGAGAAGCAGCAGACATGGTGCTGACACTACCGTTGGCAAATGACCGATACGATGCGATTACGATCGGTGTCGTTAAAAGCGAGGAGTCACTGGATGCTGACAAGGAGTGGGCGTTCAGATTATCCCGGAACTCGCAACAGGCCGACCGCCACAATTCTGTCATCAAGGTCAGCACGTGGTCCTCGAAACACACAACAAGCACTGCGCGGAAGTCAACACCGACGCGGCCTAGCGATCCTCCAAAAAACAAACTTTGTTCCAGGATCGTCGCGATCGAGCTAAGGTCATCGATCTTTGGCAACTGCCTGGTTGCAACCAAAGACATAGATGTTAGTGCCGTACCACGACAGCGTCTCATACTTCATACAGCTCGACTTTACAGTAGCATGCATACTTCATGAGAGTGTGAATGAAATCTGCCACCGTCGTCGTTGCCCACCGACAAAGCGGTGGATCTGCTTTGCCGTCTACATTCTATACAAAGAGCCGGAAACGTTCACGAGCGCAAGTTCTAAGCATCATGACACGCGGTATCACGTCCTATGAGAAGGACGTACCTCGCTGCCGAAGATTGCCGAGTACTGTGTGATCGTGTCGAACCAGCTCGTCCGCTTTATATCGATAACTTGAACAATCTGCGTAGCCGCGGACAATGTTAATTGCATCAGCGACACCCATACATAAAAAACACAGCAGCAACCGTACATGTTGATACGGATCCGAGGACGAAATACCGCGGCTCAACGAACTCAGCCACACGTTTCTGCACGCTAGGAACTCTTCTTTGAGCTGTTTTTCATACTCCAACGACCCCATGGCTGCCGCCCCTTCCTTTATAAGGAATGCATCGACGCGTCGCAGGTACCCCACAATTCGAACACAAAGTGCCAGTTGAAGGTCCTCGCGCAGCTTTTGCAGTAGTCGTTCGCGCATGGCTCTAGCCATCTCCATCACCTCTCGCATGAGACAATTAACTATCACGTTATGTGACGCATCCACACTCTCATCAGCTTGAAACGTCTCATTTGAAAGCTGCACGATGTCCAATGCCGAGTCAAATAACTCGTTCAGGATACACGCTTCCAATACTTGTGGGATCTCCAGTAGCTCCGTTAACTAAATGATAAGAAACAGCACCATAATTGTAAGAATAGTCACCCGATTTTGCAACACATGGGATCCAACTCAAACCAATTTACCTGCAGATAATGGTCAACGACGTACTGAATTTCGCCGTGCTTTGCCACGACATCTACCACGTCCTTGTGGAGCTCGTTGAAACGTTCCTGCAGCTCTGGAATGACAGTCTCGATCTTGGCCATCTTTCCGCTGAGCGCTGATAGCTGCAAGTAGTCAATCCATCCATCCATCAATTATTGCATTTCCAATAAGTACAGACAGCACCATTATTGTATTGGAATGACAATTAGAGCATTTTAATTGCACGCACATCATCGCTGACGACGTTAGCGCACTGATTGCTCTGGATAAACACGTGGTAATGCTTCAGCACGAGGTTACGCAGCTGCTGCGCTGTGCTGTCTGCCTGGTTTTGCAGTTTATATGGCTCTCGCTTGAGCTCTTCAAGCGAGCAGGTCTCGAGCGACGTCATTATGTTACAGCCTTGGCACAATATCGAGTTTGACGAGCGTAGAATCGGACAATTAAATTCATTGAATACCGGTTTTTCGGTGGCATGAGGCTGTGCAGAGTCTATCGAATCGGATCCTCTAAAATTACAAAAAATTAATCAGCTCTTTGAGGTTATAAATAAACCATACCCCTTGGGATGCAGTTCGGCGCGGTGAAAGCCTGTTTTGTGACGCAGCATAAAGAGGTTCTTATTGGAAGGTAAAGCCACTTATACTGGATCTGGCGTAAACAGCATCTGTACCGGTATCTCAAATATCGCGGTGCTATTTACTTAGCACAATGACACATTTAAAAAGAGACTTCTATAGAGGAGACTCCACATGTAAGATCTCTGTGTTGTTTAAATAGGGTCACGCGACGGACGGTTAGCTGGTGATAATACACAG